AGAATATATTTTCTCTTTTAACTTTTGTCCCCAGAAAACTTTATCAGTATGAAGGGAACTTTGTTATTTTCAATATTTATTTTGTATGTTGCTCAGTGTTTTCTGTTTTCCCCTGTTAATCAAAACCTAGTTGATAGAGGCTAAATAAATGGACTAGCTTGGCAAAATGTTTTCTCAGAGTCCTTAGAATTCTGTTTCCTTGTGTCTAAGATACGATACATGTTACAACTTTGGCCAAAATAAATAGTTGTGAAAGTGTTTCTACGTGAGCGTCTTTGGTAAAAACATGTGCACAACTGAAGTGCCAGAACCAAGAGCAAGAAAGCAGCAAACTTCCTCACTTGTGTGGGAAGAGATACCCTGCTCTTAACACCCTGTAGAGAATTCACAGGGTAGAGGTGCTGTGCTCTGGTGCTTCAGACAATTGCTGAATACAGCTTAAAGGCCTGGGATGCCACAGAAGGCCTCTTGCCTTGTGTTGGTCAGGGAGCCCAAGGGCTGTCTTAACAGGAACTGCTAGTAGGGACCTCTCTGAAGTTGCTCCCCAGTGCTGCTGACGTGCTATTCAAAATCTGCCCATGTGTCATCAATCTCTGACTTAAATATCAAAACTGTCCCAATTCTCATTAAGGACCTGCTAATCTGGCAATGTTCCTGGTCTTATGCAACCTATTACCTTTGCCTGTTCTAATTTAGCCACCTCTTTACTCTTTATGAAAGACCAGGCTGCATTTCTCACCCAAGGTGTTGTCTTTGTATTTCTGGTGTCCACAGGAGGATTATGAACCAGGACCTGTTTTGGATAAAATGTAGGCTGAGCACATTGTCCAACTGTATAGTGAAATCATGGTCAGAGATGCCAGGGCATATGGGGAAAGCGAAGTGACAAGGTGATGGGGTGCACAGTAGTGTCCCACTCTGTGCACCAGCAGTCTTACCGCTGTCAAATTCATGGGAAGATGTTTACAGTAATAGAGGGCATTGAAGGAAAATAGTCAAACTGGATTATTCCGGAAAACGAGGGGGGGAAAAAATGACGTTAGCTTGGAGGGTGTGAGGGGGAAGCATGCACAAGCAAGAAAGCGAGTACATCTTAAACGTGTGGTAAAAATCTCTAGCTTGCGGAATTCTCTGCAGAACCACAAACAAACAGGGCAACAAATGGGTCCTGGAAATGAGAGGCAGCAAAACTCAAAACTAGACCAGCTGCCTGCATGTGTATAGACTAAGGGAGAGAGTGTGTGCACGTGTGTGTGTGTGTGTGTTGTTACTGTCTTACTAAATAACTGTCTAGTCAGCCTTTAGGAGTTTCTGCTCTGCTGTCTGATCTTTAATTCAGTTTTTCCTGTGGTCTGAAGGTAGGGCGGCCCATAGTTTCTCAGTGAAACAGTTCTCAGTGGGCTGTACTGTGCTTTATTTTTTTTTCTATTATTTCAATTAAAGCTAGCGTGCACTTCTATCACGAACTCATAATTTGAAAGTGACTTTTTTCTACTAATGTTTAGCTTCATATTTGAAAAGAAGAAGGTGATTTCCCACCTCCCCTTCCCATATTCTTTATTATTCCACCTATGAAGGCCTTTGAGCATTTTTTTTAAAGCAAGGATTGGCTCATCAAACTTAGTTTACTTGTAATTTAGGGAAGGATAGATTGTGGGCTAAACCCACAATAAAATTACTTTCTTCTTTACAAATAGAATAATCCTGTCATATCTTTCAAATATGGGTCTGAAGCGAGTGTTGAAAGTTACCTGTAGGATAGGCAAAGCTGAATGAAGCAAGGGGCTACATGTTGCTTTTAATGAGCCGTTGTGGGCAGAGGACCACCCTGAAATTCACCAAAATCCTAGTGAGAGCTCAGCAGACAGGTGGGAATGGGTCCATGGTTAAGAAGGCCTGGAAATAAGAGGGATCAGAGCTTTTTCAGCACAGCTGTGTGGTTGGGGCTGTGGTTTGGAGACCTCTTCCCTCTGCAGATATCCCAGAACGCTTCAGCTTTGCAGCTCTTCTTAAATACTGCAGTACACTGTAAATACATTTCATATAAATGCATACGGAGTTACAGAAACCAATGATGGCAATTCTTCATCTCCTATAGTAAATGTTCAAGACTGGCACCAGTTAAGTATATTTTATTACTGGAGATTATATGGTGCCAGATGCTCACCACAACACGCTGCATTGTGTTTCTTTTAAGGCATATCTTTTTAAGGAAACCTTTTGAATAATTCCTATTTGTTCCATGATTTGAGAGAATGAACTTAAGATTGTGTATTTAGTTAAAAAAAAGGGGGGGAGGGGAGAAGCTTGTTGGATTAGGCAGCAAAGCTCCCTTCAGGAATGCTGAGTTTTAACTGTGAAGTATGTGTGAGGTCAGGCATTTATTTCAAAGATTAGGATCCTGTGAACTCCGTTTAACCTGCATTTCTGTTCCTTTTTGTACGGTAAAAAGATCTTGCAACTGAAACCTCCTTTTTGCTCTACTAGTTTTTTTTCTCCTTAGCCAGCATAAAGCAGCGAGGTTTACAAGAAGCCCATGTTTGTACAGAATTCATATCGAGTGTGAGATCTCCTGCACACAGAGGCTATAACCTCAGTGTACTTCTTCAAATAGTGCATAATACTCACAGGAATTAATTTGGTTTGATTAAAAACGCAGTCTTGTTTTTAATTGAAATGCTCTTAATTCTCATGCTGGCTAGAGACACGGTATGTGTTATAAAATGGGTCAATCAGGAAGGGACCAGACTGGAGGAGAGCATCAGCAGGTGACAGCCGTGTCCTTTGCCGTTCTCCCCTCTTAAGCCAGCTGAAGCACAGGGGGAAGCAGGCAGAAGCGAGCCCTCGCTTCCCCTTCGCAGCAGGAAAGCGGGTCCCCTGTGTTGCAAGGGCAGCAGTGGTAGTTGCTGCCTCGGTGTGGCAAAAGCAAAAGGTATCCGGGCTGGTTTGCTCTGTTTGCCTGCCTGAAAGCTCATTGTTGGGAGTTTTGGTCCTGCCCTGGCACAGACTCGTGTGGTCCTGGTGAGGCAGTTGGTTTCCTTCTCTTATCTGCAAAATGGAGAAGCCTCCGTGTATCAGTGCAGCGCTGGTGCTGTGTGTGATTGCTGCTGCGCTTCCACGTCCGGAAATCTTGCAGGAGCCTGATTAAGCTTGACATCAGACAACGAGAAACAAGGCTGATCTTGTTAACGCATGATTTTACGCATCTTGGGTTTGTTTGGTGTTTTCCTTTCACTCAGCACTGAGAGAGGGAGCATGAGCTTTACTCGTGTGTTTCTTTTAAAAGACTGAGCTAGTCAGTGTTACCTAGATGTTTTCTGTGGAATTTTTCATTACAAAATGCCCAGAAGTAGCCCTGCAAAGGAGGACTTAAACTAGCAGTTCACAAGGCCTTCTATAGTCTTGAAGTTACAGAACTAAAGACTGTTATGTTAAAATCAAGTGCGTAAATTTGTGGTGAGAAGCATTTGTCAACTTTCTTTCCTCTTCAGTTGCAACATCTTTGGCTACTTCAGAGCTCGCCACAAATGACTAATGAAGATTTTAAATTTGGTTTGAAAACTGCTTTTACAGAACTTCCCAGGAACTCTGTCCAAAGTGCCTGCTAGTACTTTTTAATTTTGCAGTTTGGCTGGTGGTTTCTAGCACCTCCTTGTCACGGGTAGGCATACGAACAGCCAGTGGTTTCCTGATGAGGACTATTTGCCTAGCTGCCTTTTTTCCAAAACCATTGTACAATTGTGTCCTTATAGCTGAAGATCTGGACAATGTGCCAGAGAGATTCTTGGGCAGATGGGATACTAAAGACGGCACCTTTTGCAAACGCATTACTTGCCTTCAGAACAGAAAATATCTGTGGTATCGAGTGTTTGTTTAGAGAGAAGTGACTGATAACAATGTGGTCCCTTAATGCCAAAGACATAATTCAGGTGTTTTTAGCAATGTTTTAAAAGTTTAGTGCTTGAGGTTTTGGCATTTGGTATGCACAAAGTACTGAAAGTCTTTACATACTCATTGTCTCCATAAAGGAGACTTACTTGTTGGCATCAGACAAGGATGCGAGGATTTCGCTCCTTGATGTTTTTAATGCAATTTTCTGCTGAAACAAAGAGGAATCGGATGAGTGATTGAGTGAAAGATAGTGATGGGCATGTGATGGAGTGAGCTGGTGTTAGTCACTGAATGCCGCAAGAAGAGTACCAGCACTTGCGTCAGAGAGCTACTCTGAGATCCACATGTCAAATGCATGGGACAAAAAAAAAAAAAAAGGAATTAACAAGATGATTTCCTGTACGCCAACTGTCTTGGAGGGGAACAAGAGCAAGTGGTTCCCAGGTAGGTTCTCAAACCGCTCAGAGTATTGGCCCTGAAATTCCTCCTGCTCTCGTGGAGCCCATCTCTGGGTAGCCAGTGGGTTCAGCAAACACCACAGAAGTTTCACAGCAGCCCACAAGAGGATGCAATCAAGGGAGCCCAGAGCCTCCTTCCACCAGAAAGCCAGGACTTTTTAAATAACAGAGATAGTGACACCCTGGATGTGAAAATGGTGATGCTGGATCTGCCTGCCAGCACGTGGGCTGCAGGTGAGGGGACAATCTCCTGCCAGCCAAGTTTACTCTGAACACCACTTGCATGTGGACACGTAGGGCTGATGAGCGTCACACATTGCTATCCATCCTGCCTGTCCACATCTGGAACTTTTGGCAAATAACTCTTAAATCCTTTTCTTTTTTTAAACTTCTCCATGTGGTTCGCCCTAATGTTTTCTTATGGCACCAAGCTGCTGGTGTTACACAGGGTTTGTGGAAAGACATACTTTGCTCTCTACACCATAAAGGCACAAGGTATTGCAAATGCAAGGATCTTGTGAGTCTTACCTTCCTGGTCAGCCCATCCTGGCCTCCCTGCTGCACTCTTTGTTGGAAAGTTTAGATGAGATGAAT